CAGCTTTTTTAAGTCGTTTTCATTTTCTCCTGCTACTTCATGGATTGGTATCAGTCTTATGTTATTCTTCTTTGCATCATCTAGGAGTTTTTGGATCACTTTCTCATGATCCTTAACTGTTTTTGAAAGACCTCTCTTTTCATGGTCACTGACTGTAATCCTACCTTCTATATCTAAGATTCTATCATCACATTCTTCTATTCTGTTGCATACGCTTTCAGTAGAATTTTGATTCTCCTGGGTATCTGTTTGAATCTGTTTTATGGATTCCATTTCTTTCCTATGTTGGGCATTTATTGTTACCATTTCTTTCTTATGCTGGGCCTTTATGGCTTCTATCAAGGTCCTGAGATTATCTATGTTTTGTCATTTTTGTTTCTAGAGTCAGTCTCAAATCATGACTTTCATTTTGCTCACCTACTCTATGGTTACCAGGGAAATTATTTCTGTTTTGAATTTTTCTAGAGCCTGATTGATCTGTTTTGTTACTTCTTGTGCTTTGAGTTCAGAGTGTCTTTGTAGTTCACTATCAGACTTTTAATCCTCATTTGCCCTACTGTTTGCTATTGGTGAACTGGAAGTCTGTCTTTGTGTCTTGCTTAAGTGTTTTCTCATTTTTATTTTTGTTGTTGGGTGGTCCTTGGTATAATTTCTGGGTTATTACTTAAACCTTCCTGATAGAGTTGTGCTTTACCTTTTGAGTCTCCAATGACTCGTAGATGTTCTCATTTTCATAATATTGGAGAAAACAACTCATTAAATCAATCACTATCCTTTATCCCACTTGATACAATCAGCAGCACAATAGGATCAAGCACAACTTGCAAATTAACTACTTGTGGTAGTCATTATTCTTAACCATGTGAATTAAGTTAAAATCAAGAAGCAGCCCAAAATATATTTGCAGTAAATACACTTTTCAATATAGCATCTTTACCATTTAGGATGAGGGCTTAGACAGAGTTAGGATGAGGGAAGTAGATAAGTAAAAGAATTGGAGAAGGTTTCAAGTGAAGCCAGAGGACATAGAATGACCACACAATCTTTAGGGAACTGTTAAATTCAAAAGGGATAGACAGAGCACAAGTATAAGGACAAGAATATATCCCCTTAACAGTAATAGGGGCTCACTTTCCTTTGAAACTATTGATCCTTGAGTGAGGTAAAATGATAGAAAAAAAGAACATAAATAAAAAAGAAAAATGATAAAAGAAGAAATCTGAGTCTGGGCAGGAGCAGAAACAAAAAGGGAGATGAGGGGTGATATGGTGGAGCAAGAGACTGAGTTGGTGAAAGAGGACAGAAAAAGAATTTGCAGAGTGGACTGAAAAAAGAAAGAAAAAAAATGACTTTGAAGGGCTTCTTTCAGACTATATCTCCGCTGTTATAATATACAACATGCACAGCCCTGTGCAGAACCAAATCCCCTGATCTCAGCCAGCTCATGGCAGACCCCCGCGATGCAGACTGACCTCAGGATGCAAGGCCCAAATTGAGTTTCCCGAACTCCTACAGGGTTGAACTCCACACAGTTCTACTAGAGGTTCCCCCCACCCTTTCTTTAAAGATATTCAAAGTTGGAAGCTCAGAAAATTGCCCTTTATAATCACCTGTGCCTCTGCAGAGTGGATCCAAGGACTGGCACAATCAGGAGGTCTAAGAATTGGGGGATGGTTCAGGGGTGCCTGCAAGGCTACCTTCCTTGCAATGGAGCAGCAATGGCAGAGCCTGCAGGAGAGGGCGTGACTACCCAGTTCCATGGACTAGGTCCAGGCAGGCTGGAGGAAGATCTGATGTCTGAGTGGCTTTCCCAAATCTCACCTTCCTGGCCTTTTGTATTTATTTTCATCTGTGTATTAGGATTTTTTTTTTTTGTACTGGGGATTGAACTCGGGACCCTGCACTTGAGAGGCACGCAGAAGAACCACTGAGCTAAATCCCCATCCTAAAATGCTTTTATTTATTTATGTATTTATTTATTGGTACCAGGGATCGAACTCAGGTCTTTGGACTTGCTAGGCAGGTGGTGGCACCATTGAGCTAAATACCCAGCCCTTTATTCCTTATTAGTGTGGTGTTTCATGGTTGTCCAGTAGGTGCTGGGCAGAAATGTGTCATCAGAGAAGTTTGGGTGCTGAGAATTTTAACTTTTTGTTACCATATTTTCCCTTATAAATCAGCAATGCCAAATCATTGACAAAGGATGAAGTGGTCACTTCTGTAACTTTTGTTGAGCCGAGTAGGGATATTGTTAGGGGCCTTTTTTGAGTTTGCTGATTATCAGAGATAGAGTGATTTTGAGTTCAAAGTTGAGAACTAAACTATATGATGAGACCAAATAGATTTTGGTAGGAGGTTTAGGCATTGGCCTGAGGCCTACTATTGAGAACTGTGGGATTCTGGAAGAAATAAATTGGAAAAGATAGTTGTACAAACATGAACCAAAGATAATTATTTAAGAATAATCATTAGTAACCATTTTCACAAGAAGAGTTTGAAAGCCAGACTCAAATACTATCTTTTGTGATAGTTACAGTCAGGCATAAGAACTCTTCTGTATAACCTCTCAGCTCTACTCATCTTTTGGTATGGTTAACACAAGTGATTCCATTTTTATTTCAAGAGCTTTCATGTTTTATTTTGTTTTTTAATATCCCCTCTTGTCCTGAAGACATTATTGATTTATCATCATTTATTACTGTTCCTCATGGCTGTAAAGCTCTTCCAGTTTTGGAGTGGAAGTAATTGATAAATTAGATTTAGTGTCATAGCCCCATTTAACAATATTTGAGCAACAGAGAGATTTAAAAGGAACAGATCTTAACCAAATCAACAACAGTCAAAACAGAATAGCCAAATATATATTTCTTTTTAAAAGCTTCATCTTCCACAATCTACTTGATATACTTGGCTGTCCTAGTTTTGATACAGAAAATATACTTTTATACCTACAATTTTCTTAATATACTTTTTGTCCCTTTAACTGTTTTTTGTTTTGTTTTTTTAACAAGCCTATAGCCACTTGGATTTCAAAATGAACCTGGTACATTTTTATCTCTGAGTTAACTCACAGGTGCTATATTTTCCTTAGAGTTGGCTGAAAAACAAACTTAAGTAAGCTTGAGCACTAGATAATGTTAGTGTCAGGAAAAAAAGTAGAAAGAAAAACAAAGATGTTACCTTTTAATTAGGGCTGACAGCACTTTAAGACGTTATATGACCTTGAATGACAAATTATCTTGGTACACACAAAAAACAACAAAAGAGTGAGTTGACAATTATGATTGTAGTTCAAGAATCATCCCAACACTGTTTATAAGAAATGTTCAAGGCACATCAATCAGATAAAAATATTAATTTAAACCACAGAATTGAAAGCAAATTTACCAATTAGTTAAGATATTTTCTTAATGGTCCCTCTTTACTTTTTATGGATGGTCAGGAAGTCTGTTTTCTCTTTTGGAATCCCAAGACAGAAGTATGTTTTAGATTGTTATTTGCTGGGACCCAGGATAGGCTGTGCATAAGCCGAGAGTCACTTTTTATCCAATATTTGGCCTTGAAGTTTGGCTTTAGGTTCCAGCTTAAACTCAGTCTGATGGTTTAGACTTTTTTTTTTCAATCTTTATCTTTTTGGCAATGTTTTTTCTTGACATTGATATGTTGGGTTTGTTTGTTTGTGTCCTTTATTTACACAGTATGGGCTTGGAGTTTGGAGTTAAGTCTCTGCTGCTGCTGCCATGGGTAGGAGCACACCTTGGCCATTATGATTTTGTACAGATATTTCTTTAAAAGTTGCATTGTTTAGTAATAAACTAGTATTTCCCCCAATCTTGGAGATTAGAGTCTCTGGGAAATACTGGAGAACCCACCCATTGTGGATAAATCTAAAGTAAACTGGTTCTGGCAGCTGCTTTTTCAGCCACAGAGTGAGTCTTGTCTAGAAGTTCCCCATGTCCAAGGTTGATTATGATATGCACGGATTAATATGCAGACAACAGACAAGACACATAAGACAATTATCTCCCTAGAAGGTACCACAGAACTTTTTTAGGTGAATCACAATAGAGATTTCTTATAATATTTCTGTTATTTCAACAGTATAGTTATGCCAATAAGAGTTAGAAGGCATAAAGGGCATTAGGATGTGGAGGAGAAAGGAGACTGAAAGGGGGTTATCTGATGGGAGAGATACTGGAGACTGAACTGGGGCCTGGGGATGGCCAATACCTAGGCTTTTTTTTTTTTTTTTTTTTTTTTTTTTTTTTTATTTTTTTTTTTTTTTTTTTGGTACCGGGTATTGAACTTGGGTCCTTGTGCTTACCAGGCAGGTGGTGGAACCCTAGGCATTTTTAATTGGGGAAAAGTTAAAAAGAGAGAAGGGAACATGAATGTGGATAATGCCCTCTGCCCCTGACACATTATGGGTGGGAGGACAGAGGCTGGCTGTGGTTCTGGTATGGGCACAAGAATGGGCAGTGGGCAGAGAAAAAGAGGGGGAAGAGGCAGGGATTAGGAGGAGGCCTCTGATGGAACAGGTAAAGAAGAAGCTGAGTGAGGGATCCATAGTGGTGGGTGGTTGTAGTCTGTGAAATCAAACTCAGGTTCAAAGATGGAATTAGAGTCAAGTCTAGGTTGATTGTGAGAAGAATTTGGAAAGTAGTACAGGACTGAGGAAAGTTGATTCTGACCATGCCCAGAAAAGTGAAGCAGGACTCAGCATGCACACACAAAAGCATGAGTGTGGAAACAAAATTGGACTTACTGGTGACAATCTATCTTTCACCTGTATTTGGTGGATTCCAATACTGAAGACCCTGGAAAGAAGCTACTCATTAAAAACACAGAGGGTGGCTAGGGATTTAGCTCAGTGGTGCCACTCCCTGTCTCACAGGTACAAGGGCCTGAGTTCAAGCCCTGGTAGAAAAAAAAAGAGGAACTCTGAAAACTAGTTCTTTCTTTTCTTTTTTTTTTGCTTTTGCTTTTTCTTCATTTTTGTTCTTTTCTGTTACTTTTATCTAGTTCTATTAATTTTCTTTTACTGCTTAATAGGATTCTTTATCTTACTTTCTCTCCTCCTTCTCATCTTTTATTTTTCAGACTTTATTTGTCTCCTTTCCCCTTCCCCAGTCCCTCCATTTTTTTCAGTGTCACTATTAAGCTTTATTAATCTTTAGATAGTTCATTGATTTATGCTGTTATTGTTGAATTGTTTTGTACTTTTAATGGTGGTATAATTGTTGCATATAGTAGATATTTACTGTCAGTCAATATTTGGTTTCTCTCTATATCTATATTATCTCTTTGTTATTGTAAAGGGTGGTACAATAGTACCTTTTATTGATTCTTATGGTATGTCAATATTGTTTGCTTTTGACTCTATTATTGTTGCTGATTGTATTTCTATTGCCAGCATGACATAGTTGTTGCTATCAGTTCATTTTGTACTGTATGCCAATATTGGTTGTGTCATTACAATACAGCATTTCATTTCTGGAGAACTGGTTCCTGGGTCAATTACACTACACTTTATCTTCCTCAAATTAATGGAAGTGGTCGTGTCAGAGGAAAGGTCTCTCATTAATCATGCCCAGAGCACATCGCTGGGAGGCACAAATCTCCATGCTAGGAACAAAGTCTCTCTTCACTATAATTGACCCACAAACTTCAGCATACACATACACGTGTGCGCACACAGGCCAACAGAAAAACATGAGAAAACAAGACATAAAAAGGCCTCCCCAAATGCCCATCTTTTCTAAAGCTGATCCATGGAACATTGATGGAAGAGAAAATCAAAAGCCAAACAGGTGAAGGGATGAAAGAGGAAACAAAAAATCAATAATGAGCTCAACAAGGTCAAAGATGATATAACTAAACAGATATTGGGCTCAATAAAACAATGGGCTAACAGAAGACAGTGATAAAAGGCTATCCAGTCTAAAAAAATGATACAAAACATGAAATATCAGTTTAGCAAAGAATTTGAGTCCATAAAAAAAACCAAATAGAATCCAGGAGATAAAACATCTCTTGAAAGTGTAAGACTTGTGTCTCACTTTTACTCCTGGAGCGTGAACAGCCAAGAGGCCTTCACGATGCTGGGCTCAGTAGCTCAGAGAGGCTCCAGGAGCTTGTCTGATAGCAAGAGTCACCCAGGAAGGAACACACCAGGCAAGTTGGCTAATAGACCTTTATTAGTCTGGCCAGACGGCACCTCCTAAGCCAAGTAGCTCAAGAAGGGCGGCTAGCTCAGAAACAGAGGCCATTTTATATAGGGCTGAAGTGGGGGGGTTTATACTTAAAACTTACAGAGAGAGGACAAAGGCAAAGAATCAGTTAATCTGAGCTAGTGGTCATCAGGCATATACTTGACCGTCACGTACTAATGATCAGCAGATTGATTATCCATTTTTCCATTTTCAACTTAGATTACAAAGTTCAGAACATTCCACTACAGGCAAGCAAGGAGTGGTGTGATTTATGTTGGGTCTCTGTGTTCACTACAGTTTCCATCTAGCCTCCCAGCTACTTCAATCTCCTGGCGGATGGGGGGGAGCGACAGTCTCTAGGTTGTTTGCTGGTCAACATGGAGTCGCTCTGGTTCAGTTAGGCTCCCACAAACGTATAAGTAACAGAAATGACCACTGTAAGCCGGGTGTGGTGGTGCACATCTATAATCCCAGCACTTGGGAGCCTGAGGTAGGAGGACCACTGTGAGTTCGAGACCGGCCTGGGCTACACAGTGAGTTCCAGGTCAGTCTCAACTACATAGTGAGACCCTGTCTCAAAAAACAAAACAAACAAACAAACAAACAAAAAAATGACCACTGTGAGGACAGAGGATCAGAACTAGAACATTAGGTTGACATGGGTGCTAGATAACACAGAGTAATAATCTGAGATTAATTGGAATTAGTGAAAAATGAGAAAATACACAAATGGCATAAAACATATTTAGAGAAATAATAGCAGAGAATTTTGCAAGCATGGGGACAGATTTTAACATACAGTTAAGGGAAGTATATAGAACCCAAACACTCATGATCAGAAAAGAATTCCAGGTTGGTGTGGTGGCACATGCCTATAATCCTAGCACTCCAGGGAATTACCATGAGTTTGAGGCCAGCCTGTGCAATGCTTTGAGTTCCAGGCCAGGCTGAATTGCACAGAAAGCCCCTATCTCAGAAAACAAAATATTTTATTTAAAATGTAAAACATCTGTATCAGAGAAAAATCCATTTATTTCAGTTTGACAGGAATTCAGGAGCCTCAGCCTCTAAGTGCAGGGATTACAGGCATGTGCCACCACAGCCAGATATCACTCTTCACTTTTTCATCTCACAGAAACAATACTAAGGCCAAGAGGGAACACATGAGCTGGCCCTGTCAACAGACTCAGATTGTGGAAGGGAATGTTGTGTGTGCTGCCGCAAATCAACCATATCCCTGCTGAGGCCGGGTTTTTAGCTCCTCTGTGAGAGTTTGAAAATGGCTAAGAGAAGAAAAGAAAATTGTAAGGTTGATTTGGGGGCAGAAACAGTAGAACAGAAATTAAGGATTGGCCCCTCCTGAGAAGTGAGAACCACATTCTGGGAAGGAAGTTAGCAACCTCAGGCTAGAATGAAGGAAGACATGAACTCCAATCCAAAACTCAAAGCAGATAATAACTCTTTAATTCAAAGCCTAAGCTGTATTGACTGAAGAAAGGCTTTACTTAGGTTGATGAGAAACTTGCCCCCTAAACTAGGTAAGGCTGGACGCCAATCTTCTTGTGTCTCCACAGACTCCCAACCCATGTGGCTTGTCCTTTAACAGTATTTGCTACCCCAAAGACAGAGGAGCAGGGAGCTGGGACCCATTCCTGCTCACCCTGCCTCGCCTCAACAGTAGCTGTGCCAGCAAAAGTGCCCAGATTGGGCCTCAATGCAAAACCACTGTTTGCTCCCTCTGCATGTCCAGTGGGAAGAGCTGCGGAACATCCAAGCTAGAAGAAGAGGTAGACTTCACAAGGAGAAGGCATTCCTTTGAGCATAGATTTCAGAGGCAGGCTAACTCCACCAAGGACACCCAGGGCGCACAGGCACACAAAAAGTGAGGGTGCTGCTGAGGACATCGGAGACCTGACTGGCTTGACTTCTGCTTCTGGGGCGCAGGCACTGTTTCATCTGTGCTACTCTGGTCTCCTCTCCTGTGTGGCAGAAGGACTGGAGAAAGTTGCCTCCAGTGTTTAAGTCATCGTTTATGTGTTGAAGTTCAAAGTCTTTTGTGTATCATTCAAGACACTTCTACTTTGCTTTTAAATTTTCACTTTGGGGGATCATTGCGGCCTCATCCTAGGTCACAGGGAGAAGCTTGCTCTGTTCCAAACACACCATTCTCACCTGGGGGCTCTGTGTCTCTTTCTGTTGTTGTTTTCTGTCTGAATTGCTCTTCTCTCACCCCTAGAAAATTATATCCTTGAAAGTCTTCCTCAAGGTAATGTTTTTGCTCTGAGGCCTTCCCTGATCCTTCCCAACTCCATTCCTTTCCTCCTATTGCTTCCTAGTAACTCTGTCCTCGCTTCTACCGCAGCTCTTACAGACTCTGGTTCATATTACAGTTCCATGGGCTCTTTCTGTTGCACAGAACTCTCAGAGCTTTGAAAGTCTCAGAATCCTGGATTTCACTGCTTCTCAGGAAAAAGACAAGGTGGCTCTGCACTCCCAGGTCCCTTAAGTGTCCTGCTTTCTCTTAACAACTGTCTTTTTTCACATAAAAGTCCTGTCAATATTTATACCTGAGTGATAAGCTGTCAGAGGAGCTGAGCCAAGCCAGCTGCCTCTCAGGTAAGGGTGGGAGGTACTGGTGCTGTCCTGGGAGAGCAGCCAGGGGAGGTTCTCCTAAGGTGGATGAAATCTATAGACCACTGCACTGCCAGCTTCAGAGGAAATGTGGTGTTCTCTTATTAAGACCCACAGACAGCCACATCCCTGTCTTTCCTCAGACAGTGTCAATACTTGATCTCCACTTAAGACAGGGCTGAGTACAGGGGTGGGAATGACATACGGAAAACAAGCCCTGTCCTTGGGACTGGGGAACACTGCTGGTGTTGGGAGGCTGGGATGGTGGTGCCAGGCAGGTGCAGGCTCTTCTGTGTGTTCTGGGGACTGGGCTGTTGACTGCACCTGCTGCACTAGCAGGCAAGTCAGGGCCACTTCTGAGAAAGTAGTACCTGTGCCTCTCTGACTTCAGCCCAGCACTCAGATTCCAGAGTCTCCTCTTCTAGGCCATGCTCTATGTGTGTTGGGGTGGGTAGAGAGAGAGAGATGGGGAGTCTTATAAAGTGGGAATAATCAAGCTGGATGTAGTGGAACCTGTCACCCCAGCACTCTTGGAGACTGAGGCAGGAGGATCAAAAGAATTTGAGCTTAATCTGGGCAATTTAGCAACCTACTAAGACTGTCTCAGTATAAAAAAATAAAAGTTTGTGGATGTAACTCAGTGTGAAGGTTCTGGATTCAACCCCCAGTAGTGCCAAGAGGGGTCGGGGGAAGAGAAAGGGTAGGGAAAGAGAAAGAAGGAAGAGAGAGAGGAGGAAGAAGAAGAGGGGGCAAAAAAAGGAAAAGAAGAAGAAATTAAAAGGAATGATATCCTTCAAGGGCTTGAACACTTCCTGTTCTTTTGTAGTTGTTGGCTTGTCACTTTCTGGAATCCCCTGGGCACCATCTCTTACCTGCCTGAAACCAGATCACTTTCCTTAACCTACTTTGCCACATTAGGACTCATCAACAGTCTCCTTGGAGAGATTTCAAGGAGAAAAGAAATGCTTCTCTCTCTTCTACAGAAGATAGTCCAGCTATGAGGTGTGAGCAAAACATAAGGTGAATGTCTAAATTTAAATTTTATCATAGTCAATTACACTTTGCTGTCAATCCCCCGCAAAATACTCTCCCCTCACTTCAAATACACTTATCTCATTATTCAGTTCTGGAAGTCCTCTTTTTATTTATTTATTTATTTACTTTGGCACCAGGGATTGAACTCAGGTCCTTGAGCTTGTGAAGCAGGCGCCAGAACCACTGAGCTAAATTCCTGACCCCTGGAAGTCCTCTTTCCTGCCTTAGCAGTCCTATCATGGCTCCTTTAATGTCCTGAATGCATTTAAAATGTTTACCTTTCACCCTCATTTTGACTTTGGGGAAGATCCATGGTGTCAAATCCAGTGAATAAGGTGGATGAAGATGCACTGTGATGTTTTTATGGGCCTGGGATCATACCTCCTAAAAATAGGAGAGAAGACCTCTAGAATTGGTTTAGAAAGTAGAGAGAATGAGGGGGTCGATGATTTTGAAGTGAGAGGAATTATTGGCAATGTATCTTTTGGGATTTGTGTTTGCAGTTTTTTGTTGTTTTGTTTTATATTGTTTTGTTGGTGTTAGGGATTGAACTGAGAGCAACTCCTATGCTAGGCAAGTGCTCTACCACTAAGCTACATCCAGGAGAGAGCTAGGAAGGGAAAGAAGCTTGTGAGTTATATGGAAGAGCTACAAAAGGAAAGCAGCACAGGAAAGAGGCTGCGACCTGTAGACAAAACACAGTTTTGCTGAAGCTGCTCCCCAGCCTTCATGCCTGTAAATACCCACAGACACACTGTCTTGCACATGACTGAGGATCAATCCTTAAATGTATCAGCCCCAAATTCTCTTAGTGTTGGAGGTCAATAGAGAGAGGGAAGAGGAACAGTCAGGTCTCAGACTGAAAGACCTTAAGATGGAGATGTATGGATAACAACATTTACACTCAAACTGATGTTCTTATTCCCTAAGGTCTGCGGAGCTCCTTCAGAGGAAATCTGAAGCTCAACAATATAATTTGAAAGTAGAAAAGCAATTGGGTCTTTGTCCATCTTCTGCTGAGTCAAACCACAGCCAGACCACAGAGCTGAGAAGCCATGGAGAAGAGCCTAGAGTGCAGGAGCTGCAGTTTAGGAAAAAGGAAATGAAAGACCAGGAATATTGGAAACAGTTAGAGGAAATATGCCAGCAGTACCACAGTGACATGCAGGAAATTAGGAAGAAGATGGGGAGAGAGTTGGAGGAGAGCTCCAAAATCAGCCACAAGACCTATCTGGTGAAGAAAAGTGCCCTGCCTGTTGACCAAGATGCTCCTGAGGGTGACGCACCTGTGCAGGACATTGAAAGAGCCTTGAAAAATATTAGGCTTGAGAACATAAAGGAAAGTGAGATTCCAGAAAAGAAATATAAAGCTAAGAGAGGGGTAAAGTTCAAAATTCATTTAGACGAGTGTGTATCTGATGGAAACACTGTCCAAGAAGAAGAGACAATGGACATACTAAATGAAACTTTGACCTTTAAGGACAGCATAAAGTTTAAGGGATATGACTGTGGAAAGGAGCTTGAAGATGACCTAGACAAAGCCTTGGAAAAACTCTTGGCCCAGAAGCAGAGCGTTTCACTCAGGGTGCTGCAGCTGCAGGAAACAGGAGGCAGTGGGATTGCAGAGCGCCTTGGACTCTACTGCAAATGATGGCAGCAGCTGACATTACTTCTACCTGCCCCACTGGTCCTGACGATGGCCAAGTTATTGTGATGGAAAGTATTCCAGAAAGTAGGAAGCAGTGGCAGCATGAAGCACCAGGAACCTTATTGAGTGTTTTGGCAGCAGCAGATCTAACAAGTAGCTCTTTTTCTGCTGGTGAAGGAGAACCTGTAAGAACATTGAAGCAATGGCTTCTGGGAGAAGATGTGGGGAAGGTAGAAATGGCTTCCTGCATTGAAGTAGCTGGGGAACTGCTGGAACCAGCATCTGATGATGATGATACAAATTTTGAAGAATCTGAAGATGAGTTGAGAAGCAAAGTAATAGAATCCTTTGAAAAACTTGCTACTTTCAAAGGAGGAAACATGGAAGAAATTTCCAGTATCTTTAAGGATGCTTCAATGTCAGGAGAGAGAAGGAGGTTAAGTGTAACAAAATCTGATGAATTGAATGAAGGTGTAGAAGCTGTTTCTAGTCCAGCTAATGACCAAATTTGTGTTGCTGATGAGGACTAAAGAACAACAACCTACTCTACCATAAAGAAAGAGAAACCTGAGTCATTTGTAGGAAAATGGATGCATTTGAGACCATAATGTTAAGTGAAATAAATCAGACACACAGGCTTAAATTGATAGAGAGAACTTTTGTAAATAACCAAAAACCTACAAAATGTTAGGAAAATGTAGAATGACTTCTGCTTTTCTAACTGAAATTGGCTTTCTTTAGTTCAAAATTAACAGGCACAGGGAGGCATTAACCATAGAATGGGAAATCTGGCCTCATCCTGAGATAACAGGGCACTTGAGACCCAGAGCTCTGATGTTTAATGAGCCACATGATTATAGGTTTTTGTTTGATTGTTTGTTTCTTTTTTTGTTTTTTTGAGATAGGTTGTCACTATGTAGATGAGACTGACCTGGAACTCACTATGTAGCCCAGGCTGGTCTCAAACTCACAGCAATCCTCCTGCCTCAGCCTCCTGAGTGCTAGGATTACAGGCATGCAATACTAGGCCCAGCTAACCACATGATTGTAAAAATATCAAGATGAAAAGAACAATTGTTCAACTTTCCTTTCCTGACCTTGAACACCCACTTCCTGTGGGCCAGAATAGGTAGCTAGGAATCTTAAAGGTAGACTCCCTAACTACAAAGAAATGCTGCATTTGGGCAAAAATTAACTGTCTTGTGGGGATTTTAGCTAAGTGGTTCCAGCGCCTGCCTTGCAAGTGCAAGGACCCAAGTTTGATCCCCATGTACCAAAATAAATAAATAAATAAATAAATAAAATAAAGAATAATCTTGATCTCTTCATTGTCTTAAAAAAAAGTTAACTGTCTTGTCACCATGATTTGTGCATCAGTAATGTAAACTGAAGAAATGAAATGTAACCACCTGAATGAGATCATGGTTGTAAAACCCTATAATAGAAGAAGCTGTATCCTAGTAAGGTTGTTGATCACTGGCACTGCTTTTATTTATTTTTTTATTGAGTTTATTGGTACAATCTAGGTATACAATACAGTTACATTCATTATTG